AGTGGCAAGTCCAGAATGATTCATACCCTTTATAAACTGAGTCTATGGGAAAATCCAAAGTTCTAAACCGTTCCAAACAGCACAAGATGTTCTAAAACTTCCTAATTCCCCTGATTCATTGGGAGGAGCTGTTTTAAAACATCTGAACAGGTGAAAAACAGCAGGTCTTTGGTTTGTGAACAGTCATGACTAAGACAAAGCAGCTCTCTGAGGATCTGAGGATCTGCGTACTGTGGCTGCTCACACGGTCCGGAAAGGTCGATAAGAACATATCTAAAGAATTATTAAAAAGTACAAAATGTTCCACACTGTGGAAAATCTCAGAGGATTTGGTCTGAAGCCAGAAGTGACACCTGTGCTGGTCAGGAGGAGAGTGAGAGGTGAAAAAGAATCCACAGATCATCACCAAGACCATCCAGGTGAATCTGGGCTCTGCTGGTGGAACTTCTCAAGGCAGATGATCCAACAGACACGACATCCTGCTGGATCCACGGACGCAGACCGAGGAGGACAGAGCAAACAAAAGCCCATTTAGACTTTGCAAATGCTCATCTGGACAAAGAAGAACATTTTTGGTCTTTTGTTTTATAGTGAACAAAACATATGGAAACAAAAATGTAATTTTTTGACCACAGTGATGTATCCTTTATTTGGCGTAAAAAAGGAGAAACCAAAGAACAACATCCCCACTGTCAAACATGATGGTGGAAACCTAGTGCTTTGGAGATGTTTTTCACAGTAAACAGCTCCATGAACAAAGAGCAAGACGTCAAACTCCTCAACAACAACATCAAGCAGCTGCAGAGGAACTTGGACTTGTTCACCACTGAACATTTCAGCACGACAGTGACCCAAAGCAAACTGCACAAGTGCTGAAGAAAAGGTTATTAGACGACAACATTACGGTTTTGCAGTGGCTCAGACAGAGTCCTGGACCTTAAATCCAACTGAGAATCTGTGGATGAAGTAAAAGATCAGGGTGATGGCAAAGAGACCAGTGGAATGACTGGGCCAAAATATCAGTGGAGACGCACAAAAAACTGGTCAGTAATTGTAGGAAGTGTTTGATTACTGTAACAGCCAATAAATGGTTTTCTATTGATTATGGAGAATTCTGGACATGCCACTTTTTGTTTAAATGTTTTCCACCATAATTCCTCTTGTACATCGTGTTATTATCTCCTGGGAGACGTCTGTGTCATTTCAATAAAGAGAAAACTTGCTGGTTGAATAAAAGTAACTTTAAGTCCAAATTTGTCATGTGTATGAATTATTTTGGGTTTGACTGTACAAACCCTGTTCACCGCAGTGTAGATCAACAAGAGCCACTGTGTTTATTTATTTATTTATTTAGGGGGTGGAGCAAATGAATAATTCACTGTAAAGAACATTTTACTTCTCCAGCGTCCTGTTATTATTATTATTATTATTATTATTATTATTATTATTATTATTATTATTATTATTATTATTATTATTATTATTATTATTAAGTCTCACAAACCCGGATCATGAAAGCAGCACTTTTATGGCCCATTGTTCAGATCAGTGGGGAGTCGTTGATGATCACAACAGCGTCTGGGAGCCTCAGGTCTCGGTCTCAGGTCTCGGGTCTTGGGTCTCGGTTCTCTGGTCTGGTTTAGTCCTGGTTTAGTCCTGGTTCAGTCCTGGTTCAGCCTGTTTTAGTCCTGGTTAAATTCTGGTTTAATTCTGGTTCAGTTCTGGTTTCGTCCTGGTTAATCCTGTTTTAGTCCTGGTTAAGTCCTGGTTAAGATCTGGTTTAGTTCTGGTTTAGTCCTGGTTCAGTCCTGTTTTAGTCCTGGTTCAGTTCTGGTTTAGTCCTGGTTCAGTTCTGGTTTAGTCCTGGTTTAGTCCTGGTTTAGTCCTGGTTTGTTCTGTTTTAGTCCTGGTTAAATTCTGGTTTAGACCTGGTTCAGTTCTGGTTTCGTCCTGGTTAAGATCTGGTTTAGTTCTGGTTCAGTCCTGTTTTAGACCTGGTTCAGTTCTGGTTTAGTCCTGGTTTAGTCCTGGTTCTGCATTATACTGAGTAAAAAAACATTAAATATTACAGATTTTCCTGGACTGTAGACATTTGTACGTGATGATGATGTTTTAGTTTTTCTTGTACGTGATGATGATTTTTTAGTTTTTCTTGTACGTGATGATGATTTTTTAGTTTTTCTTGTACGTGATGATGTTTTAGTTTTTGTTGTACGTGATGATGATGTTTTAGTTTTTCTTGTACGTGATGATGTTTTAGTTTTTCTTGTACGTGATGATGTTTTAGTTTTTGTTGTACGTGATGATGTTTTAGTTTTTGTAACACTCGTCGTCTCTCCGTCAGCCCCCATGGCGTCGTGGATGTGGGCGGTGGTCGCCGTGGCGCTGGCCGTGCTCTTGCTGCTGTGCGTGGCGGTGCTGGTGGTGATGAGGAGGGTGAGGCAGCGGGCGCACTCAGGGGCCGCCCACAGCGCCGCCCAAGGGCCCCGCGGCCTCTCCATGAGCGCCCGCCCCACCAAGACCAAAGCCCCGGTGTGGGGGGGTCCGGGCCCCGTCCAGGACCCCAGAGTCCACTCGACCAGGGACAGGGACAAACTGGGCCTGAGGAAGAAGAAGAAGGCGAAGGAGGCGGAGAAGAGGCGGAGACGTGAGCCGCTGGGGGAGGACGCCATGCGCATGAGGTCAGACAAACACTCAACCACTCACCCGTCTGTTCAGATGTTACAGAATCACATAGACCTAAACCCCGTGAAGAACATCATGGTCACACATTATTATGAACCTCTCTCTTGGTTGAGGATCACACAAAAAGAGGACGGATCGTAAAACAAAATATATATTATACTATTTTGAGATATGCGTCCGGTCAAGTGGTAACGGAGGGAAACAGGGTCAGAGTTTTGACATTCAAATGTGGACTGATTTTATTTAATTGACCTGAGTTTTCAGCTCTCAGTTCTTCTTCCTGGAGACCTGGAGCATGTTTTGGGTTAATGGAGAAACCGAAATGCCTGGAGGAAACTCATCCAGACACGACACGAGAGAAAACATACAAACTCCACACAGAAAAGCCCGGGCGACCAGGGGATCGAACCCAGAACCTTCTCGCTGTGAGGCACTGTGCTGTTATGAGACAAATCTGAGAACTGAGATAGTGACAGAACTGAGACAGTGTTTCCAAGTAAAGATATAAAATTTAAATATATTTGAAAGCAGCACAATCTCATTTTTCTCTGAGCTGAGATCAAGAACAGAGACAGAACTCAGACGATGCTCACGATGAGACTTTTTTCTCAGGAGAAAACCACTTTGGTCTCGATTAGAGTTTATTTATATTTAGGAGATGTAAATGTGGGTTCGGTCAAGTGGTAACGGAGGGAAACAGGGGCAGATTTTTGACATTCAAATGTCTCTTATTCAGAAACTAGAGGAACTATTGAAATAAGTAAAGTATCAGAATGTAGGAAAGAGTTACACTCCAACAGGGTCAAGTTAAACCTGTGAGATTCTTTCAAGTTGTTGACAAAAAATTAAAAGGCGCTTTGACGACTTAAAAAAAAAAAGTAAGTTCACATTGTAAAAAACTAAAAGAATCCCTACAGTCTGACCTTTATGAAAGCTGTGTTTTTCATCCATGAGCTTGAATGATCCTTACGTTCCTGAGTGTTGGTGTGGTCAGGCCTCTGAGGCGGGAGCAGGACATCGGCAGTGACACGGACGTGACTCAGAGCTCCATGGAGGACATCAGCCGCTGCTCCAAACGCCACGAGGCCTTCATCTGCGACCACCGCAGCCCAGGAGACAGGGCCTACAGGGGGGCAGGGGGACAGGGACGCGCCCCCTCACAGGGTACAGAACCACACACACTTTTAAAGACACACTCTGTAACCTTTATGGTGGACAGTCTGCTCCCTGCTTGTCTCTGTGGATATGTTGCTTTGTCTAAATCAGGGGTGGGCTATTATTTTTTCCATGAGGCCACAAGAGAAACAGAAAATATTGCTTAACTAAATTCTGCATAATATTAATTGTATTTCTTTCTAATAAGCAGTAAATATCATTGACGAGCTGCTCAGACTGGAAAGAGTTTACGTTATGACTAAACAATGAAAAAGTGAGGCTGACAAACAAAAAATGACATTAAAAACATCTCTAAAATAAAAGAAATGCAGCTTTAGTCCATGCATTATAAAATATGTTTATTTTGTAATTCCAAATTAAATTAAATGGGCCAGTCAGAGTCAACCAAAGGGCCGAATGTGGAGCTGGACAATGCCCAGGTCTGGTCTAAGGCTGCGTTCAGACTGCACCTGAAGTGACCCAAATCTGATTTTTTGGCTTCTATGTTCCTGTATCCGATCTTTTAATGACAGTCTGAACCACACAGATCTGATCTTTTGACATGCGACTTCAGTGTGAACGGCCAAAGCGCATCCATCCGACCAACACGTCATTAACAAGCGACAAACGTCACTATTCTGCGCTGAAGCAGGCGGAAACCGGAACCAGAACTGTAAAATCTCCAGGTGCTCGATGCTGCGTCCATGTTTGGACAACTTCCGTAAACACAGAGACGCTCGCTGCGGTCGACGCATGGGGTTGACGTCGTCGTGTCTCCAGTGTCACATGCGGGACACTTTCGGGCCGTTTACCGTCCACACTGGAGACACAGACAAGTCGCATTTAATTGGAAATGTGAACGACCTCACAAAAACATCAGATTTCACAAAAAAATCGGAATTGAGCGTTAAGCCCTGCAGTCTGAACGTAGCCTAAATCACACCAGGCCAAAAATGCATAATGAAGAAGAAAATAAACATATATAAGTGTCACTTTTTGGGGAAATGTATTTTATAAAACCAGAGATCCAGGAGCAGACATTTCCTGTGTAAAGTGAAGTTGTAGTAAAATCAATATTAGAGAGAAGAACAGACTGTTAACGTCACATATTTCACAGTTCTTCAGATAAACTATAAACAACAGAACAGAACAAGTTTAACCAAACTCTCCGTCTCACTCCAAATCAATAAATCACTTCAGTTCTTCATCCTCGGCGTCACTTCTGAACAACTCGACCTCCGGAGGGAAACAGAGCGACGCAAACTCTTCTGTGTCGCTGTCGTCAGACTCAGACTCAGTTCCATTTATTTCCAAATCTCACAGTGTGATATTTATTGTGATATTTTGGAGAGGTTATTATAATTGTAAATGAAACACACTTTTTTGCTTTTAAAATATCTTGACAAGATTTTGGTGTGAATTATTTCTGTCATAATCCCAAGAATTCAAGTAAAACCACATCTCTTCATGTTTTCTGTGCTGAAATGAATCATGGGAAATGTAGTTCCTGATGTTCATAATCTGTTGCTTCTATAAAACTATGAATTAAACAAAGGAACTTGTGATTCGATATATTGTGACAGTCCACGATGTTATTGTGAGACTTTTGATGATATTTCAGTTACTGTTACGTCCCTAGTTCCAGTTAGAATTATTCAGGTCTTTCTGAATCCCGACAGGATGGTTTCGGTGTCACTGAAGTCCAGACTTTGTCCATCATCCAGTGACTTCAGGAAAGTTTCATGGTTCATCCTCCCGGTGTCACAAGTTTCTCTCTCACTCCAAACTTTCTTTCTGCTGCTCCATTTCCGTTTTCAGCTGCAGATTTCACGACTCTTTCTCTTTCTCTTACGGCTCTTTCTGCAGGAGACATGCACAGTAGAGCCAAGTGACAGTGGTGCAGGAGGAACAGGAGCAGCAGATCCTCACACACGAGACTAGAACCTCTCCACATTTACTCAAACATTTTAATATAGAAGTCACAGGAAACACACAAACCATGAAAAAAACTGACACTTATAGTCCAAAAAATACGGTAATAACATTTCCACAGAGACAGGTTAAATATTGATTAATTTAAAGTTGCTACTGTTAACAAACTCATAATCGGTGCTGTTGTTGTTGTGTTGTTGTGTGTCAGCGCCACCTAGAGGCTGGGACAGAAACGCGATGCCTCCTCCTCTGCTCAGTCCCCCTCAGCACGTACGTTCCGCTCACATTTCTGTTCGTTCCTGTTTAACTTTTGGACCATAAATGACCCGGACGTTGTCTTGTGGTCAGTCTGCAGAGTGGTGCGGCCCGGACGGATCGGTGGTGCTGATCCGAGCGGTCAGGAGCGGCCTGGACCGAGTCGTGCTGGAGCTGCTGAGAGCGGGAGTCCCGGTCAACAACACTGACCACACAGGTGAGGCTCCGAACTGACCGCAGAACTGACCACAACACAGACCACGACACTGACCACAACACTGACCACACAGGTGAGGCTCCGAACTGACCGCAGAACTGACCACAACACAGACCACAACACTGACAACACAGGTGAGGCTCCGAACTGACCGTAGGACTGACCACAGAACTGACCACGACACTGACCACAACACTGACAACAACACTGACCACAACACTGACAACAACACTGACAACAACACTGACAACACAGGTGAAGCTCCGAACTGACCATAGGACTGACCACAGTACTGACCACGACACTGACCACAACACAGACCACAACACTGACCACAGAACTGACAACGACACTGACCGCGACACTGACAACAACACTGACAACAACACTGACCACAGAACTGACCACGACACTGACAACAACACTGACAACAACACTGACCACAGAACTGACCACGACACTGACAACAACACTGACACAGACAACACAGGTGAGGCTCCGAACTGACCACAACACTCGTACACTGGAAAAAATGTAACATTTAAACACTTGAATCTATCAGAAAATGACTTAAATATAGTGACATTATTTGTCCATGCAGTAAGATCATTTTACTCGACAAGTTCTCTTAAAATAAACGACCTCTAGACGAGAATGAAACATCAGAAATCTCAGAAGTCGATAATAAACCTGAAAACAAAATGAATAACCTGATATAAGTTTTAAAATCTTGGCCAGATCAGAGAAATGTGCAGTGGATTTTTCAGAACTAAATATATAACTTCTTTAACCTGACATAAATGAGAGTTTGGTTCTGCTCAAATCTCACTTCCTCACTTCCTCAGTCATTTAGTTTGATTTTTTGTTAAAACACACAGAGACGAGGCAGGGTTAGGGTCAGGACGGTTTTATAATAAATCACCCAGAGGACAAAGTGGATCAAAACTAAACCAGACTCACAGTGAGACCAAAGTCTGGCAACTAATACAGAAACAAATGTAGTCGTACTTAGGAGTGTAACAGTTCACAAAAAACACAGTTCTGTACGTATCTCGGTTTTGAGGTCACAGTTTGGTTCATTTTCGGTTCAGTTTGGGAACAAAATCCAAAACCATTTGCTTGTTGTTTGTGTTTTTATTGAACCGACAATTAGTTTTAACATTATACAAACAGGGAAATAAAATAAATGCAAAGTGCTGCTTGGTTAAACTAATAAGTTAAACAAAATATTCTCAAAGAAGCAACAAAAATTTGAAATATTATAAAAAAAATAAATTCCTTGTAAACAGTAAACAAAACTTTTCAAAAAGTAAAGTGGAGAACAAACATTTTCAATATGAAGTTTTAGTTAATCTTCATATTTTTGGCCAGAAAAACCGACTTGTCCACATTATCTGCAGTAAGAGCAGATCTGCTGCAGTTACAACGTCCCCAGTGGATGAAAATGCACTTTCGCTTGGGTCAGAGGTCACAGGCACAAGGGCAGAGATTCTGTGCAGGTGAAAGGTAAAAGTGAGGACTGCATCGCGATGACCGTAGTTTTGCAGGATTCTCGTGGTTTGGAGGGACATAGTCAAGGCGGGGGGCAGTTGTTGTGAAGGCGGCCGCTCTAACTATAAAGCGCTGCAGGAAACACTGCACCAATCACGGACAAGTTCCTCATGAATATTAAAGAGTCGAGGCTCCGTGTACCTGCACATGTAGTGGAGGAATGTAAACACACACAAACTGCGCAACTTGTGCACAGTCCTGCACCGAACCAAACGCCTTGTACTGAAATGATTCAGCATGAACACATGAACTGTTACACTCCTAGTTGCACTGAAATATACCTGGTGCTTCTAAACATTATCTTTAGGATGTTGGACTGGGCTGGTGAGCAGAAACCAAACTCCTGCATTGCCAAGTTCATCTGTCCAGTCCTTAAAGTCATAATGAATCAGCCAATCACTGCAGAAAACTGAACTGTGTCACAGAACTCAACAGTCCAACAAGGCTCATTTGGTCTCCAATAATTTATGTTATTAGGTTCTTTTCTCAGACCAAGAGTTTGTTTTCATCCTGACAGTTTGTTCTGCTCCCTGCTCCTCTTCCTCAGAGTCTCGTGATGTTGCTGTGATGAGTCGCTGAGCTGATTTAAACAGGTTTTGCCACCATCTTCCTACCGGTGGAGGATCTTTGGACACGTCACAGCAACATCACGAGACTCTGAGGAAAAGCGCAGGAACCGGAACAAACTGTCAGGATGAAAACAAACTCTTGGTCTGAAAAAAAGAACCTAATAATATGACCCGGAGCTCATTGGTTGAGGTGTTCTACGTTCTGATTGGCTGTCAGCTGCTTCGTGGGGTTTGGGAACACGTCTGAACTGAAGCTGAAGTTTAATCGAGCCTTTCCTGAGCCGTGTGATGTCGTGATGTCGCGATGTCGTGATGTCGTGATGTCGCGATGTCGTGATGTCGTGATGTCGCGATGTCGTGATGTCGTGATGTTGCGATGTCGTGATGTCGTGCTTGTACTCTGCACTGGAGTGAATGAGAGCAGCCCATTCACCTTTTGTCTCTCACCTCCTGTTTTTGTCCCTGTGCCTGTCTCTCCATGACTCCCCTTGTGTCCTGCTCATGTCCAGACGTCCCTCTGTTGCCGTCCCCCGACCCTGACCTCATCTAACGCCCCCGCCCCGCCTCCCCGCCCCTCCCCCCGTCTCCGTGCTTGCCTCTCGTCCTCCCTGCCCGTCCCCTTCGCCCGTCGCTCTCTCTCTCGTGGAATGGTTGTGTTGGCTTTGTGACCCCCTCGCTGTGCCCCCCCCCTCGTGTCCCGCCCGCTCTCACACTCACTGTCTCTCAGGGAGGTCGGCGCTGCACTGGGCATGCTCAGTAAACCACCTGTCTTTGGCGAGGACCCTGATCCGCTACGGAGCCGCTGTGGACCTCCAGGACAACAAGGTGAGATCAGTGGAGGATCATGTAGTGGACCGTTTCTCACCAGGAGTCTCCAACCTAAAAGTAGCTCACCGAGGGATTTTGGAATTCAATCAGTCAAAATTTATTTCTGTAGCACCTTCCAACAACCAAAGCCGACCTGTGCTGTACAACATTAAAACAAGGGTAACACTTTATAATAACTACACCTTATTTAGCCTTAATAAAGCATGAACAAAGACTTAATTAATAATGAACAAAGACTTAATTAATAATGAACAAAGACTTCATTAATAATGATTCACGCTTAGTAACTACTTAATTACTACCTTAATTAGCACTTGCACTTAACTTGCCTGTGCTGTAAATAGTTACTCATCATTATTTCATACTTAATTACTCATGAACTAACCATCTGAGCATTTATTAATCATTAGTAAACTATGAGAGAATGATTTACTGATAATGCAGTGCAATGATCATTCAGGCAGCTGTTATCTGTTTCTGAGAGCTTTTCTAAAGTGAAGAGTAATTATCCTTTATTAAACATTTAGTAAGCGTGAATCATTATTAATTAAGTCTTTGTTCATTATTAATTAAGTCTTTAGTCATGCTTTATTAAGGCTAAATAAGGTGTAGTTATTATAAAGTGTTACCAAAACAAGATAAAAAAAACAAAAAAAACAATAAACATCATACAAACAGGTCGACAAACACATTACACCGTTAAAATAAAGAAAGTGTCACAGGGTTTAATTAAGTGTTTAATTATACCGTTGGACCCAAAGGCTCGCCCTCTTTTTTTATAAATCTAATAATTTCTTGCGTCCACTAAAATGAGCAGCTCCGTGATATTTTTGTTTTGTAAAGGAGCTCACCAGGGGAAAAAAAGACTGGAGACCCCTGGTGCACACAGTGTCCACTGATCTGAATAAATTATGTGTTTGTAATTTACACAATAGTTTTCTTTGACAAATACAAATCTGTAAAAACACATTATTTTATTTAATGAAAGTTTAAACAGTCTTCCAAGAAAAAAGTCTTCCTGTGTGTGTAAAATGGATGGAATTGTGTTTATTGATGACACGGACAGAGGTGTTTCAATCTGCTTCCTCCTCCTTCTTTATTTTTCAACTTTTCTCAAAGAATAATAAAGCCTCACATTTGTAATGTGCTTCACAGATTTTATCAAAGCCTCTCAAAGCGCCACACTGTGTCATTGCTCATTCAACCATCAATATTCACTACAGAAATATAATCAAATCTGGAAGGTGACTCCAGGATGTGTTGTTGTTGTTTTCAGTGGCCTGTGCTCACTGGTGCATCATGACAAAAAAGATGTTTACTTCTGCATTACTTCCTGAAGACTGACCTTCAAAGTTCCTGTTCTTTTTCACTGACAAAATGTCAAAACTTTTCCATGACTTTTTCATGATCTAAAGTGAATTTTCCATGACTTTACAGCACCTACATGTGGAGAATTAATCAGACTTTTAGGATAAATCTGAAATGTGAACTCTTTCCACTCACCTTATGGTTTGGGATTATAGTTTTTAATATTTAAAATCCTGTCAGTGAATTTATTGTCGTCTCTTTTAAACAAAAGACTCACACGTTCACAAATAATCAGAACAGACTCATGAGAACTGAACAGAACACTGGAGCCAAGGGAAAGAGATACTGAAATTCTATGACTTTCCCAGAACTTTCATTGAATTTACAAAATTTCATGACCCTTCCAGGCCTGGAAAATTACATTTTCAATTTCCCTGACTTTTCCAATAATGAGAGGAATCTGAAACCCTGTCACATGTTCTTTAAACGGTCCATTACCGCCCCCTGTAGTTCACCTCTTTGCGTCACGTTTCTTCCACAGGGTGAAACGGCGCTCTTCTTGTCCGCGCTGCACGGTTGCTACGACACCGCCAGGCTCCTCCTCCTCCACGGCGCCAACCTGGACCTCCGGGACAGACGGGGGCGCCACGCGGTGGACGCGGCTCAGGAGGGGATGCACCACCAGATCCTGGAGATGCTCCTGTCGCACCAGATGCAGAGGAGGCCGACCGCGGTGCAGGACAGCAGCTGCGACGTGCTGTGGGACGACCGCGCTGTGGCGTATCCCTCCTGCTCGTGGGGGGGCGCTCAAGGTCTGCCCGGCAGGAGCGCCTCCTTCTCCGGCACCATCGGAGCTCTGCCCCCCAGGTGAGCAGGGATGAGCAGAACTGTGTTTGTGTAGGTCTGGGTTTAACATCGGGCTGTGTCAAAAATCAAAAGATCGATAGATGGTGAGTTTTACTTTGGTCGATCTCGATGAAAAAGCACATTTTGATTGACAGGTCCAACAGTCGATTGTGTGTCTTTAAGAGTGTGTGGCACTGACCATTATTTACACTCTTGTTTACGAAAAACACCTGAGCCACAGCACGTCTCTTTTAAAAAAAAGTTTTGACATAAATGGTCCTGACCCTCTGCTCTTTACGCCTGAAGTCCACGTGTCTGTGTTTTTAATAAGATGGAAGAAAATCAAATCGAAAATCGAGATGGAACATATCATCAGTACAGAAAAATAAAATCATGATTCTTTTTCTGTCCCATATCGCACAGCCCTAGTTTAACACAACATCACAACATTCTTTATTGTCCAATAATCAGGAAATGAGTGTTAGCATGCTAGTTATTGTTGTATTACCTTCACTCACCTCTGGTCTCTGAAAGTTGTGAAACGCACGTATAAACTCGTGGTGGTGAATAATTAGGCTCTGGATGCAGAAAGTAAGTGAGGAATAACTCCAAACCACAACAAACTGTTTCAAATGAACGACCGTAAAATACCAGATAATATCCAGGGCGTTTATTTGTTTCAGTCACTTAAAAGACCAGGCATTTATTTGAGACCAGGCAGCAATTTGGGGCAGGAGATTAATTCCTTCTTGCTCAACAAAACTGAGAAAATATGTAACTCAAATTCTTTTAACCAGTCTGACTATAATGTACAGTTTTAGTTTATACGATGTCCTGGCGACTCCTTTGCCTCGTGGGTACGATTCCTGCCACCTCTTCTCCTGTCTTTCCTCGCCCCTTTGCCACAACTTTCCTCTGACGCCACAGCAGCTACGATCACATCGCTGCTTCCTCCCAGTCGCCAAACTCAAGTCATTTTACCAAAACTCCTAAAAACTGCTTCAATTTCTCCATCTTTCTTTTTTATTTCACTTCAAAAAAGGGATTTCACAGCAGCGTCGTCTGTTCCTCCACTTTTTCACTTTCACTGAGGCTGATCGGACACAGCACAGAGAACTGAGCCTGTCCATTCAGTCACATGACCAGTCTGACCTGAAGTCAAACTGCCGCTGTAAACATCAGACTCTCTGTGTGTCGCTGCACTCATCATCACATCTTTGTTAAATAAAGCACAAAAAACGAGAAATTGGAGTTTGAGCAGCTCCTCAGCAGCAGCACAACCACTGCTGGACTAGACTGTATTAGACTCAGCATTTATTTATAAAATATACACCTGCGCCACACGTTTAAATTGGACCCGGCGATTAACTGAAACCTGGATATTATTTGGTATTTTTGGGAAGTTCTGTTTTTCATTTTTTAAAGTTTCTTTTAACTTAAAAACACCAATAAAACAATGAACAGAAATGAGACGCAGCATCGAAGCTCCAAATATTTTCAGAAAACACAAATTAATTCTCTATTTTCTTCCTTCTCAGTGATTGGTCGCCCGGCAGAGTGCAGTACCCCTCCCCTCACACCTGGAGGCCCCAGATCAACCAATCAACAACAGCCTTAGTCCCTCCCCGGATCATGGGCCGCTCCCCTCGACCAATCAGCACGCTGCAGGAAGTGACATCAGAGGACGAGGACCGCGAAAGGCCTCAGGACGTCCCCCGGGCCATAACGCCTCACTTCCTGTCCCCTCAGCCCGCCCCCCGCCAGCGCTCCTTCTCCTGTACCCAGCATGCCCTGCAGCGACGCCCCAGCGCCCCGCAGCCGGAGCCCAACTACGTCATCGTGACGCCGCCGGCAGCCAACGAGCACGCGGAGAGAGCCCCGGCCCCGCCCTCGGACACCGGCGTCCAATCGCACGGCCCCGCTGCACACGCCGAGAACTTACACAGGGCGGAGCCGGCGGCAGCGAGCCCCGCCCACCCCGAGCAGAAGAGCCGGGAGAGGCCCCAGAGCCACGGGGGCCCCACACACGGGGACCCCACACAGACGGCCCTCTGAGCCTCCCGCGGCGAACTGTACGGCCCTGCCAACTCCTGCTCCTGCCAACTCCTGCCCCTGACAACTCCTGCCCCTGCCAACTCCTGCCCCTGACAACTCCTGCTCCTGCCAACTCCTGCTCCTGCCACGTCCCGCTCCTGCCACGCCCTGCCCCTGCCACGTCCCACCCTGCCAACTCCTGCCCTGCCAACTCCTGCTCCTGCCAACTCCTGCCTCCTGACACATCCCGCTCCTGCCAACTCCCGCCCCTGCCAACTCCTGCTCCTGCCAACTCCTGCTCCTGCCAACTCCTGCCCCTGCCAACTCCTGCCCCTGACACGTCCCGCCCCTGCCATGTCCCGCTCCTGCCATGCCCTGCCCCTGCCACGTCCTGCCCCTGCCACGTCTCGCCCCTTCCACGCCCTGCTCCTGCCAGCTCTGCTCCTGCCACGTCCTGCTCCTGCCAGCTCTGCTCCTGCCACCTCCCGCTCCTGCCGCCGTCTATGCGTGTAACAATACGCAAGTTTTTATGTTTTTATATTTGCAAATAAGTCAAATAAAGTGGAAACGTAACCACAGAATGTCCACTGAGGTTCATTTAGTCTCTGATCATTTATGTTTTTAGGTTCTTTTTTCAGACCAAGAGTTTGTTTTCCTCCTGACAGTTTGTTCTGCTCCCTGCTCCTCTTCCTCAGTCTCGTGATGTTTCTGTAATGTGTTGCTCTGCTGATTTAAACAGGTGGCGCTGTCGTCCTGCCTCCACCGGTAGGAAGACAGCGCCACCTGCAGTCACACTTCCTCAGGACAGTATCCCAGGAGTGTGAGAGTGACGCTGAGTTCAGACCACAGCATCAAAAAAACGCCCTGGATGCATTTGCATTTGAGTTCAGACACCACTGACACGCCTCTTGGACGCCACAGACGAAAGGGAGAAAAATACTTGATGTTCATCCAGGGCGTCTGTCTTGTTTTCCTGCTTGAGAGAGACTTTAGTGTATCTATTACATCAACACATCGGCGGAGGCGATCAACGGCAGTGGCGGCGTGTGTGTGTGTATATATATATATATATATATATACACATATATATATATTTTTTTTTTTTTTTTTTTTTTTTTTTTTAACTCTGCTAGTCCTTGTTTAGTCCTGGTTTAGTCCTGGTTTAGTCCTGGTTTAGTCCTGGTGTAGACACAGTGTAGAGTTTCTTGTTGTGGTGTTTGTGGTTCCTGGGTCTTTCTCCTTCTTCTTCTTCTTCCAGATAATAATGTCGCTTGACAGTTGTCCCTGATTGGTTGATGGTTGATGCATCAATGCCAAATTTGTGCTGTGGTGACGCACGGAAACAGCTGCACTCGTCAGTACTTGTGAACAGTGATAAACGTGAGCTGACTCCATGTGAGCTGGATCATAAATGTTCTTGACAGGGAAAGAAAAAGGAAACAGAGAGTGCTCAGGTTACCATAGTTACCAAACTCCCCCAGCAGAGGCTTTTAAAGCAGCTTCATTAAAACTGTGGCTTTTATTTCTGCTCCTCACTGCCGTCGAAGTGAGAGAGTTTAACACTAACAATATTCCTAATGAATGTGTTTCAATTTACTTTTTTACACTGTAATAAAAGTA